AGGAGAATTGCTTGAACCCAGAAGGCGGAGGTTGTGGTGAGCCAAGATTGTGCCATTGCACTCCAGCCTGGGTAACAAGAGAGAAACTCCATCTCAAAAAAAAAAAGAAGAAGTAAAGAATATTCATAGAAGACCAGCCAGGTAAGTCCTCTCATGCAAGAAAGAGGGATTTCAAGAGAAACTCGCAAGGTGAGAAAGAGACAGCCACGTGAGCAGCAAGGAGAGGAGGGTCCTGGGCAGATGGAATGTCATGTGCAAAGGCCCTGTGGCAAACAAGAAGCAGGCTTGTTGGTGGGACAGAGAGAAGGCCAGTGTGGAGAACTTGGGAAGGTATGGCAGGTGATGATGCTGGAGGGTGGCCAGGGAGAGATCACACAGCACTTTGTAAGCCAAGATTAAGGGCGTGGATTTTACCTAAGGGAGACAGGAATTCTCTGAAGGATTTTAAGCAGAGGGGAGATATGATATGATTGACTTACAAATGAGATTATTTACAGATAAGCCATCCTAAATTGAAAATGTTATAGGTGAAAAATGCATCTAATACATTTAACCTACCAAACATCATAGCTTAGCCTAGCCTACCTTAAACTTCTTAGAGCACTTACATTCACCTACCATTGGGCAAAATCATCTGGCAACACAGTACACTGCAGAGGTTCAGGTTTTTTTGTTGCTGCTATTTTGAGACGGAGTCTCACTCTGTCACACAGGCTGGAGTGCAGTGGCACGATCTCGGCTCACTGCAATCTCCACCTCCATGGTTTAAGTAATTCTCTGTCCCAGCCACCTGAGTAGCTGGGATTACAGGTGCCCGCCACCACACCCAGCTAATTTTTTTTTTTTATTATTTTTAGTAGAGATGGGGTTTCACAATGTTGGCCAGGCTGGTCTTGAACTCCTGACTCCATAATTCACCTTTCTCGCCTCCCAAAGTACTGGGATTACTGGCATGAGCCACTGGCACCCTGCCAGAGTATCCGTTTTTTATCCTCGTGACCTTGAGGATGACTAGGAGCTGCGGCTCACTGCACTGCCCAGCATTGCAGGACGGTATCGCACAGCATTTCACTAGCTGGGGAAGAGTCCAAAATCCAAAATTCAAAGTACAGTTTCTACTGAATGCAATAAATGTCCTGGTTTACCCAGCATAGATCTGGTTTATTCCTATTATCATGGTACATAGGGTGCCAGCCTCCACATACCACCTGTGGTACCCCGAGTTCAGTGGCGACAAAGGAATGAGAAAAAGACAGGTTAAGAATGCATAAGTGGGACGAGGGGCCCAGTCCATAAACTGGAGGCTGCAAAGGCCCCAGGCTCTGGGTTCCACAATATTTATCGAATACAATCGCTTTTATCTATAGTGCAGATGGTAGGGTGAATTGGTGAAAGGGAGGCTGTGCATTAAACATAAAATTGATAGCAATGGCTGTTTACGTGAATTTCTCAAGAGCTAAAAGCCTATGCTTATCAATAGACAATGCTGCTGGTGGGAGCAGTCTTAGCAAAGAGCCTACATGTCTGGTTACATTCCAGTGCTTCAAGGGAGTGTTTTGTCCTTGGGGACTATGTTTAGAATATCAGAGCTTAGGACACTCTGCACCTGGGAACATGCTGGCATAGAGAGGCCAGGAAGGCCTCCTTCAGCCTTCCGCAGTGTATTGTTCCTGATTCCTTTTATGCATTACTTATAACCAGTTTATGTAGGCTCACTGTGAACCCTTCCTCCATTGCTGCTTCCAACAGTGGTACAATTATCAACAATGCCCCTTTTCATTCTTGAAAGTGACTTGGTTTGGATGATAAATTATATGGTCACCTGAAGAAGAGGGCAAAGTGTGAAAATGGGGAGACTAGTTAGATGGCTATCACAGTACCTCAGATGAGAAATGATGTGGCCAGGAGCCTGGAGGTGTAAATGAGAGGAAGTTGATGGATTAGAGATGACCTTTGGAAGTAGAATCACCAGACTGGCCAGTAGATTGGATATGGGGGTAAAGTGAAGGGAAGCAGCAACACATCCTCTATCCAGTGTGAGGAACAGAGAATGGTCGTGCCGTTAACTGAAATGAAGAAGCCTGGAGTGTGGAGAGTTCTGATGGAAAAACTCAAGTTCATTTTGGGACACGTTAAGTTTGAGATATCTGGAAGCCAGCTACATATAGATATGCCAAGTAGCCAGTTGGATATACAAGCATGGAGCTCAGAAATGACATTTGCAGGTGGAGATATAACTTTAAAAGCCATCCACATAGAAGTACTATTTAGACTTATGAAAGAGACCATAGAGAAACAAAGAATGGGGGCCCATAGACAAGTCTGAAGAACACAGAATTTGGGGAGATAAGAAAGGCCCAGCTAAGGAAATAAGGGAGAATTTAGGTAGAGGGTAATATTATGCTACTTAGAGTTGATGAAGAAAGAGTGGTATTATGAAGCCAAGAGACCACATATGTCAGGAAGGATGGGGAGAGCAACTGCACTGACTCTTGCTCACAGGGCTACTGATATGAAAAGCGAGAGATGTTCATTGTTTTTGGCAGCATGGAGGTCAACGGTGACAAAGTTATTTTGTTGGAGTCATGGGGACAGAGACCAGGCTGGAGTGGGTTAACATATAATCAGAAGTGAAGAGTCAGAAGGTGTGTAAATGGGTAATACTTTCAACTAGTTTGACTTAGTAAGAGGAAGAAGAAAATGTGCAAGAGTGAAGAGTGTTGTGGGTTGAAGTGTAGGTTTTCACTGTGGTAATCTAATTCAGAACGCAACTACTGAGTGCCTGGACCCTGCTGGGTATTATGCATGCAATGACGAACAAGATATGGTGCCTGTCCTCAAACAAGCCAGGCATTTCCCCAAGCATAAGGGCTTGCCTGGCCATTTAAACCAAGCGCTGGAGATCCACGAGGAGAGGGGGTCTCCACTGCTGAACCTCTTGGCCTTTTTCAGTGTATCACAGGTTCTGGAGTCAGACTAATCAGCCTACAGACCTGCCTCTGCACCTGTTACATGTGTGACCTTGGAGAAGGTCCTAAGCCCATACCTCTAAACCTCAGTTTATCCAACTGAGAACGTCAGAGCCTTCTCTGCACCTTAAATCAGATAAAGCATGTAAAGTATAGGGCATAGTTTGCAACTGCAATGAAAAATGTCAGCTATTCTCATTTCTGTTTGCTGACTTCCCATGCCCCAGCAGAATTTGGACTGCCACCAGTATGTGCTTCTGTTGAGGCTCTTATTAAATTGTGTTGTCTATCTACATATCTCACTTCCCTTTTAGGACATGAAGTAGAATTTTATCTGAACTAAAAGCCAATGAGATGCCGGCCAGGTGCAGTGGCTCAGGCCTGTAATCCCAAAACTTTGGCCAACCGAGGTCGATGGATCACTTGAGGCCATGAGTTCAAGACCAATCTGGCCAACATGGTGAAACCCCATCCTTATTAAAAACACAAAAATAATTAGCCAGGCATGTTGCCCCATGCCTGTAATCCCAGCTACTTGGGAGGCTGAGGTGAAAGAATCACTCGAACTGTGAGGCGGAGGTTGCAGTGAGCCAAGAGGGCCCCATTGAACTCCAGCCTATGCTGGAGAGACTGTCTCAAAAAAAAAAAAGACCAGAGAGAGACTGTCTCAAAAAAAAAAAAGAAAGAAAGAAAGAAAAGCTAATGAGAATAAAGATAAGAAAAATCAATGTGAGAGTCATTCCTTAGGTAAAATGAGTGGGACAAATTAAAAATTGAGACCAGCCTGGTCAACATAGTGAAACCCCATCTCTTCGAAAAGTACAAAAATTAGCTAGGCTTGGTACGAGCACCTGTGGTCCCAGATACTCCAGAGGCTTAGGTGAGATAATTGCTTGAACCCGGGAGGCAGAGGCTGCAGTGAGCTGAGATCGTGCCACTGCACTCCAGTCTGGGCAACAGAGCAAGACTCTGTCTCAAAAAAAAAAAAAAGGAAAAAACCAAAGTCCAATATGGTAGTTTCTAGGATAGAACTCCTAGGATTAGGCTTCCCTAAGCAATGTACCTTCTTTTCTTTTTTTCTTCTTCTTTTTTTTTAAGAGAGTCTGACTCTGTCGCCCAGGCTGGAGTGCAATGGCGTGATCTTAGCTCACTGCAACCTCTACCTCCTGGGTTCAAGTGATTCTCCTGCCTTAGCCTCCTGAGTAGCTGGAACTACAGGCACATATCTTCTTTTTATTGAGACAGGGTCTCACTCGGTCATACAGGCTGGAATGCAATGGAGTGATAATAGCTCACTGCAGCCTTGACCTTCCAAACTCAAGCAGTCCTCTAACCTCAGCCTCCCAAATAGCTAGGAATACCAGCACACACCACCCCTGACTAATATTTTTGGTTTTTAGTAAAGATCAGGTTTTACTATGTTGCCTAGTCTGGTCTCGAACCCCTGAGCTCAAGCGATTCTCCTGCCTCAGCCTCCCAAAGTGCTGGGATTACAGGTGTGAGCCACCGCACCCAGCGCACAATGTACCTTCTTGATTCGGAAAGAGGTCACTGGGGGACAAGGCCTGGAGGCAGAGAGTGGACAGAGTGCAATGAATTGTGTAGTATGAATTGTGTAGTGTAAAGTCTGTACACAGAGAGACCTGGAAACTGTAACAAAATAACCTGTGAGGCCAGGAAGAAGAAGTGGGGGTGTGGGGGGTAGACCTCTAATCTGTGTTACAGAGAAGACTGATGGAAGGCTGCCCAGGACTGTGCCAGAGCCATGACTCCAGCCACTCAGAAGCCCAGCATGATGGTCATTGCTTTGCTGGCTTAGGCTTACTCAGGAGGAGAAGCTGGGGCCAAAAATGACCAGAGAAGCTTGTCTTGGGTCGTGTGAGGAGTCTGCATAGTTACAGGTCAGCTGGGAGTTTTGGGGCCCCCTCATCGCAGGCTCATCCGCTATGGTGCTGTTTATCTTCCACATGGCCTCAGATGGCCATTCCTCCCAGAAAGTCTGCCTCAATGTTCCCAATTTCCATCAACAAATTCAATTTGACAAACATTTATTGATCACCTCTAGGCATCCTGTACCAGTTCCTGGGAACACAAAGCTCAGTGACTCTGTGTCCCTGTCTTGGAGCAGAAGTGTGTGAGTCACAGCCCAGTTCCCTGAGTGCAGAGGAGCAGCAAGCTCAGTATTTCTTAGCCAGGCCGTCAGTTCGGAAGCGATTAGGGTCTTTGCCACTCCGGCCCCATTCCTCAGCTTTCTGGTTGGACTTCAAGTCTTCCAATACACTGCTGCTGTCTCCAGATAAATAGTAGTTTGCAAAGACCTGAAGATAGTCCCTGAAACGGCTGCGACCCAAAGAAAGGAGACGGGAGATTAATCTCTTGACTCACCTGAGATCGCTCCACCTGCTAACTCCCTCCTCTCCTCCCACCCAAGGAATGACTGAAAGGAGGCTGGAAAAGTCAAGAAGAGGGGAAGAAAACTATCAATCCTCATGGGCAAAGTCCTAAGTCAGCTGATACTTTCTACACTCTGCAACAGAGTGCTTTTTTTTTTTTTTTTTTTTTTTTTTCTGAGACAGGGTCTCATTCTGCTGCCCAGGCTGGAGTGCAGTGACTCTATCATAGGTCACTGCAGCCTTGATCTCCTGGGCTCAAGGGATCTCCCACTTTAGCCTCCCAAGTAGCTGGTTCTACAGGCACATGCCACAATGTCTGGCTAATTTCTTTTATTTTCTGTAGAGATAAAGGTCTTGCTATGTTGACTTTGAAGAGCCAGGTGGCTCTTGAACTCCTGAGCCCAAGTGATCCTCCCACCCTGGCCTCCCAAAGTGCTGGAATTACAGGTGTGAGCCCCTGCACCAGGCTCCTACAACAGTGTGCTTTTGAGACCTCTCCTCAGTTCTTACTTTCCCTTTGGGGGTGAGAGGAGACATATCCTCACCAGCCTTGCTCTGGCTCTGCCGGCCACTCATACCCCAGGAGTGTGTGGAGGAGGAGAAAGAGCCACGAGTTCTCCTGACTCTCAAGCCAGATAGGCTCTGCTGGCCTCTCACTGGAATCCCCTCTCACTGGAATCAAGTGTTACCTGATCACTTTAGCAGCCCAGACACCCCCAGGTCCTCTTTGGGCAGCATCATAGTTTCCCCGAGCATAGAAATATCTGTCTGAATTTTGGTGATTGGATGCCATCAAGTCCCAATAGGCTCTGCACATGTCCCCAGCCCCTGGAAAGAAAAGAAAATGACAAAAATGAACCTGGTGACATACTGGGGAAGTGGAGAAATGGACATTTTCCACTGATTTCCAAATTTTGACCCTTGACAAAATAATCTTTTGAAATCATACATGGAGGTAAACATTCCTTCCCGTGAACAGCTTCCCTGAGTAACTGTAAGAAAGATGCTTTCCATGGATCACATTGGATTGACTTGGTTGGCAGCTGTCATGCCCTGGGCTGCACCTTACACGGGTCTGTGTGTGCTGTGTACAAAGAGGGCATGGTCATGTGAGGCATGTCACAATAAAGAATGATACTACAGATGTAAGATACAGGGACTATACAAGGGATGTGGTGAGAGGAGGAGGGGGTCACACATCTACCATGGCCCATAAGAAAAATACATCCTCACCAGCTCAGCAAGGACAACTCAGACTTGAATAAATCTGTTACGGGAATAGATGGCATAGGAAAACTGAGGGAGCAGGCAGTATGTGGTGAGGTGGAATGACCTGAGAGAGCTTCAGAGGACCTGGACAGTCAGACTTACCATGAAGGGCATGAATGTAAATGTTTAGCTCTCTGCCCTGACAATTAAGTTTCAGTTTCCTTACTCTTCAATTAACGGAATCATACCCACCTCCCTGGTGGACTGAATGAGAAGATAAAATGAGGGCACATACATAAAATGCCTAGCATATTGGAATACTTGATGCAAGTTGGATTCCTGTTTCTATTAGTGAAGGAATAAGATACCGCTATACACCCAATAGAACGACAACAATTTTTTTAAATGACAGTATCAATGTGAGCGAAGATGTGGAACAGCTGGAACTCTTATCATTGTTCTGGGCTTTGTTTTTGTTTTCTCTAGTCAGGGTCTCCCTCTGTCACCCAGGCTGGAGTGCAGTGGTGTGATCATGGCTCACTGCAGCCTCAACCTCCTGGGCTCAAGTGATCCTCCTACCTCAGCCTCCTGAGTAGCTGGGACTCCAACTGATAACACACCCAGCCAATTTTTTTTTTGTAGAGATGGGGTCTCACTATGTTGCTAAGGCTGGTCTCAAACTCTTGACCTCAAGTGATCCTCCTGCTTTAGCCTCCCAAAGTGCTGGGATTATAAGCATGGGCCATTATGCCCAGCTCTCCTAATTGTTCATGAAAGTATAAATTGGTACAGTTTTGGGAAACTGTTTGCTGGTATCCAAGAAAGCTAAATTGACATATACCTTATGACTCTACACTTCCATTCCTGAGTATATAACCACAACAGAAACGAGGCCTTATGTACACCAAAATACATGTACACCAATCTTTACTGCAGGTTTATCCATAACAGCCCAAAACTAAAAATGTCTAACCAATAATGTAGAATAGATAAATGGTGATATCAGTATACAATGGAATACTATGCAGTGATGAAAAAGAACAAAATATTAATACACATGGCAAATGCTGTCATGTGTATTAATATGTCATAATGTTGAGTGAAGCTAAACCAGATGCAAAAGACACTGTATGATGTTTTTATTCAAAGATCAAAGACAGGGAAGCTAATCAATAATGGTAAGAATAGCAGTTACCTTTGGTGAGGGTTGTTAACTGGAAGAGGGCATGAGAGACCCTTCCAGGGTGCAGGAAATGTTTGGCATCTTGATCTGAGGGTGTAACATGGATGTTTGTATGTGTAAAAGCTCATCAAGCTATACAGTATACTATATGTAAGTTATACATAATTTTAGGTTTGTTTTTTTTTTAAGACAGAGTCTCGCTCTGTTGCCAGACATCAGGCTGGAGAGCAGTGGCGCGATCTTGGCTCACTGCAACCTCCACTTCCTGGGTTCAAGTAATTCTCCTGCCTCAGCCTCCCGAGTAACTGGGACCACAGACACGCACCACCATGCCCCGCTAATTTTTGTATTTTTTTTTTTTTTAGTAGAGACGGGGTATCACCGTGATCTTGATCTCTTGCCCTCGTGATCCGCCCACCTCGGCCTCCCAAAGTGCTGGGATTACAGGCTTGAGCCACCACACCCGGCCATAATTTTAGTTTTTAAAGATATTAGTGGAAAAAATAGATGTTTGAAGCAGGTCTAAGCCAGGAAGAGCTATAGAAAGTGTTTATCAGCGCCTGTGTTGTTCAATCAATAAATATTTTTGAGTCCTGATGTGGTTTACATGTTTCGGACTTTTTTAAACCAACTCACTTGGAAAAAAGAAAAGCTACGATGAATAGTTTTAATTATTATGTACTGTGTTCTATGGGATATTTCTCACTAGTTTCATGTATTCTTTTGTGTCTGTAATTTTGTCAAATAGTTTATCTCTGGCATGGCACAATGACCATTCTTTATATGATGCATGCTGTATGTTCTTCTGTGTTTTCCAGATTGATTAGCAAGAGTTTTCTCTAAGCAGCTGACAGATTCTGTCACTGGGTGACAGAAAAACCCAAGAGAGTTGTTCTCATTGGCATTGTGCTTAAAGTAACCTGGGGAGTTTTTCAAATGCTATTTCTAGTCCCACTTCACTTCTAAGATTCTGACTCAGTAACTATGAGAAGAGGTTCAGGAATATATTTTTTAAACAAACACACCCAGCCAATTTAAATGCTGGTGGGCCATACAACAAATTCTGAAATACATTGACCTAAGGAAAAAGATATTCTCTACCATGTGCAGAAAAACTTAGTGCCTGCTACCAAAACTCCTTAAAAACTGTTATTTAGAGAATATCATTTTTAAAAGCACAAAATGCAGAAACAAATGAAAATATGTAAAATTTCAATTGAAAAGTTACAGAAAATTTAACTACAAAATTAATCACAGCACTTGAAGTTCAGAGTATTGCAAAACCTGACAACACAATTTTCCTATTTTAATAACTAGACAATAAGATTCATTTTCTGGCCAGGCACAGTGGCTCACCCCTGTAATCCCAACACTTTGGGAGGCTGAGGCAGGCAGATCACAAGGTCAAGAGGTCGAGACCATCCTGGCCAACATGGTGAAAACCCATGTCTACTAAAAATACAAAAATTAGCTGGGTGTGGTGGCACACACCTATAGTCCCAGCTACTCAGGAGGCTGAGGCAGGAGAATCGCTTGAACCCAGGAGGCAGAGGTTGCAGTGAGCCAAGATCATGCTACTGCACTCCAGCCTGGTGACAGAGCAAGACTCTGTCTCGGAAAAAAAAAAAAAAAAGATTAATTTCCCATCCAGAATCACCGAAGTCAGTTTCCCAGCCCTATATCAGCCCTCCTGTGGCTGATCAGTAGGAATTTGCTCTTTTTATTTTATGGGTGGGAGTTAGGGCTTAATTTTCATGAGCTCTGCATCCCAAGCATTGGCCGTTTGCTTGGATACAGGATGGGATTTCTCTGTGCAAGCACTATTCTTCTACTGTCTCCTAGGCATGTATCAATCTTGGAGTATAATTGTGAACTCAGTGCATTCCCAGAGGTGGATGAGCTGAATAAACATCATGCCCTGAGAAATCTGTCATCTGTAAATTTCCACGGTAGGAGATCACCCTCTGGAAGTCTTTATCCTTCTGCACACCACACCAACAGTACAGGCTGGGCCCAAAACACCTTTAACCTGTGGTCTGGAAACCCCAAGGGAGGGTGATAAATCAGACCAGCCTAGAAGAAGAAACAGATACAGAAAACCACGCTCCTCCTCTGACCCCTGTGTGGCTTCTCTAAGGACCACTCATATCCAGTGAGTGTGTGGCCCCTGCTCAGAGTGAATCCTGGGGATATGCCGTCCACCCTCCAGAGGTCTTACCTTGGACAGCCTCCTTGAAAAATGAATACCAGCCTTCACTGCTGACTCCTATGACCAAGGAGCAGAAAACAATGCCCATGAAAAGTCTCATTGTGCTGAAGAGAAAGAAAGAGTGGCAGAAAATCATTTTAAAAACCCACGGATCTATGTTTTGAGGACTGAATTCCTTTTTATATATATATTTTTTTCTTTCTTTTCTTTTCTTTCTCTTTCCTTCCTTCCTTCATTCCTCCCTTCCCTTCTTTCCTTCTCTTTCTTTCTTTCTTTTTTCTGTTGCCCAGGCTAAAGTGCACTAGTATAATTAAGGCTCACTGCAGCCTCAACTTTCTGGGCTCAAGTGATCCTCCCATCTCAGCCACCTGAGTAGCTAGGACTACAAATATGCACTATCACACCCAACTAAATTTTTTTTTTTTTTTTTTGGTAAAGACAAGGTCTTGCTATGTTCAGCCCAGGCTAGTCTCGAACTCCTGACTTCAAACAATCTTCCCATCTCAGCCTCCCAAAGTGCTGGGATTACAGGCATGAGCCACTGTGCCAGCCAAAGGACTGAATTTGAAAGACTAATTCCCCATTTCCATTTGTTTATATTAGAATCAAAACTTTGTGAAAGATTGAAACGGGTTTTAAGAAGAAGTATAAACCCTAAATTCTCAGCCCAGATCTCTGGAAAGAATAAGAAGGTTCCAACATGTTTTTTGGTCTGTAGCCAATTTGTCACCCAATAAAGCAGAATAAAGTCAGTCAAGAAGCATTTCCTGAATTCCTTCTCTCCACAGCACTGACCCCATAATGAGGTAGAAAACACAACTTCTCTGCAATTGAAATCTGCCAATTATGTGAGAAAAGGATCTCAAAAGAGTCAAATAAGAGAAATTACTCCTTGGAAGAAACCTCACCTGTGGACCTTTCTCCAGCTGAACTCTCAGTAAAAGCAGAGCTGCGCGTACCTTCTAGCCGTGGAACTATAGTTGATATCTCTGCTGGCTTCGGCATTAATGGGAGAAAGCTTTGAAATCCCACAACCTGCCTTGCCAAAGTCCTTTTTGCTCAATTCTTTGGGCATTTTAATATTAGCACATTGGGTAATAGTGTTTCCTTATCCAGAAGTAGTTTTCCAAATTGGGTCATCAAGTATTTGTTTTCAGGCAGTTTTTCTTAGACATTTTTTTCCTCTTAGTTTCCTGTATTACAGAAAAGAGTTGTATTTGCAAAATCCAGTGTGGGAAGACAGGGGTCTTTCTCCACTTTCTTCTCTTTGTGTCTCTTCATTCTCACCCCAAAAAATTGCACACAGATATTGCGCTCTAGGAAGTGATCAATATTATTAGCAAAGGAGATGTTTGCTTGTCTCTTGTGGCTTCCCGCTAAAGAATGTAAGGACACAGAACAAGCAAGACTTGGCCGTACCAGTCATGGGGTGAGGTAATGATTCTGGGAGAACGGAAGGACAGGAATAAAGCCAGAAGATCAAGGGTGTGAAGGCCTTCCAGGCATAAAATCTCTTTCTTCATACAAATATGTATGATTCTGCACTTTCTTTTAAACTTACTTTTATGAAGATCTTTTCATATTTGTCTTGTTGCTTTTTTTTACAGCTACACACTATTCCATCGTATGGATGGACTGTAATTTATAAAATATTGATGACTGTTTTGACAGTTATTAATCTTTTGATATTGCAAATAATAATGCATTTATTAACGTTGTACATATGTCTCTTGCACATGTACAAATATATCTCTAGGATAAATTCCTACATGAGAAACTCCATGGTAAAAAAGTATCAGATTTTATAAATTTTTCATTTGTTTGTTTGAGTCAGAGTCTCACTCTGTCTCCCAGGCTGGTGTGCAGTGGCATGATCTGAGCTCACTACAACCTCCACCTTCGGGGTTCAAGCGATTCCCCTGCCTCAGCCTCCTGAGTAGCTGGGATTATAGGCACACACCACCATGCCCTGCTAATTTTTGTATTTTTAGTAGAGACAGGCTAGTTGGCCGGGCTAGTCTCAGCCTGACCTCAAGTGATCTGCCCACCTCAGTCTCCCAAAGTGCTGGAATTACAGGCATAAGCCACCATGCCTGGCCCTAGATTTTATAAATTTTTATATATGTTGCAAATTGCCTTCCATGAGGACTGATCGCTACTCCCACCAGAAATGAGTGAGAGAGCTTGGTTCCACACTGTCTCTCACACAGTACACCCTCAAACTTCTTGGTCTTTGAAATTGTGAGTAAAATAAAACTCAGAGTAATTTTAATTTACATTTCTCTCACTACAATTTTGGTTTCACATCTTTCTACATGTTTAAGAGCCATTTCTATTTTCTAGGAGTTGTGAATTCATACCTTCATGTCAAAGGAGTCATTTTTTTACTGGTTTATTGTGTTTTTATTTATCACTTTGCAGGAACTTTTTATATATAGGGAAAATGAGTATGTTATCTATTATATGAGTTACAAATATTTTTCCAGCTTGTTTATCTTTTGATTATGATGGCTTGTGTTCTGCCAGAGGAAAGTCTTTATTAATCTTTTCTTTGCTGTCTTCTCAATTTCACAGTATAGTTTGAAGAGCTTTTCCTACCTTGTTTTTTTGTGGTTTTCTTAAACTCAAATGTTCTTATTTCATTCCTTTTTAAAAATTTTTTGTGGGTACATAACAGGTATATATATTTACGGGGTACATGAGATATTTTGGTACAGGTACGCATTGCATAATAATCACATCATGGAAAATTGAGTATCCATCCCCTCAAGCATTTATCCTCTATGTTACAAACAAATCCAAGTTTGCTCCTTTAGTTATTTTACAATGTACAAGTAAACTGTTATTGACTGCAGTCCCCCTGTGGTGCCATCAAACACTAGATCTTACTCATTCTATTTTTTGTACTTATTAACCACCCTCACCTCCCCTCACCCACCCCTCCCCACTACCCTTCCCAGCCTCTGGTAACCATCATTATATTCTCCATCTGCATGAATTCGGTTGTTTTGATTTTTAAATCCCACAAATAAGTGAGAACACGTGATGTTTGTGTTTCTGTTCCTGAATGATTCCACTTAGCATAATGACCTCCAGGTCCATCCATGTTGTTGCAGCTTTCCCTACTTTGAGTTATAAAAGAATTTTACATGGATTCAGTAGATAATATTAATATTATTTTTATTTTTATTGTTTATAAATATTTAGCATATTTGGAATTTGTCCTACCATAATATATAAAGTACGTTTTCAACTTTATGTTATTTTAGATGGTCACCCCGCTGTACCAATCCCATTTGTTGAATAGTCCATCCTTTACTTACTACATTAACATACAACCTTTATCATATACAAAATTATCATACTCACTTACATCTAATTCTGAGGTTTTTGCTCCACTCATCAGGTTTTTTTCTATATGTAAGTCAGTACTACACTGTTGTACTTATTGAGGCTTTATTCAATGTATTAATTGCCCTTATTACTCTTTTTTCAGAAGTAGTTGGAGTTTATTTTCTATTATTTCTTCTAACTGCAGTTTTTGTATCCAGAAATGCTGCTGATTATTTACATACTAATGTATTGCCATTCCACCCGTTTTAACAGTCTTCTTGTCCGTAGTGTTTTGGTTGGTGTCTGGGGTGTCCTGAAGTCCTGTCACACCACCTGCCATTCTCTGTTATCACTGCTCCAGTTAGTTCTCCAGACCTTCCCCTGCAACCACCTTCATGAGATCGTCAGTGACTCCATGTTGCTAAGCCAAAGGCGAACTCCTCAACTGCTGGATACTACTAATCAATAGCTCCATCGGGGATACTGGAACACCATGCTTTCCTAGTTTTCTTCCTTTCCCAACAGCTGCTCTGTCTCAGTCTGTTTTGCTGACTCCAGCTTCTCCAAATTTCTTAGAGAATGGAGACCCCTACACTGAGCCTTCAGACCTCTCTTAAGTCTCTATCCACATGCTGAGGGAGCTCATCCATACCTCTTAGCACAGGTTCCAAAGGCCATGGTCTTGTTAGTGGTGGTTGCTTACACTGAATCTTCATTGCCTAAATCAATGCCTAGGTCATGTAGGAATGAAGGGAAAAAAAGCTTCTTCCAAGGGCCGGGCGCGGTGGCTCACGCTTGTAATCCCAGCACTTTGGGAGGCCGAGGCAGGTGGATCACGAGGTCAAGAGATTGAGACCATCATGGTCAACATGGTGAAACCCCGTCTCTACTCAAAATACAAAAAATTAGCTGGGCATGGTGGCGCGTGCCTGTAATCCCAGATACTCAGGAGGCTGAGGCAGGAGAATTGCCTGAACCCAGGAGGCAGAGGTTGCGGTGAGCCGAGATCGTGCCATTGCACTCCAGCCTGGATAACAAGAGCGAAACTGCGTCTCAAAAAAAAAAAAAAAAAAAAAAAAGCTTCTTCTTTCACTCTCTGGAGTTCAGCTGAAAATAAACCGACAAAGGCAGATTAATAGGAGGAAAAGACATACACATTTATTTTAACATGCATGGGGGAAAATCATAGGAGAGTGATGTCTCAATAACCCAACAGGGTTATATGCTATTCTTCATAGGGGAGGAGAAGATGGGGAATGCAGATAAATGTTTTGACGCCATAAATGATTATTAGGAAGAACGAGTGGACCTGGGAGATAGAAATTAACTTGTAAAATGATTTTCTTGAAATTTGAATGAGCCTGAGAAGCAGGTGTCATCTTTTGAAAAAGTCCATACCGTTGTGATTGTATTCCTGAGTCATCTTCTCCAGTATAACGAGATTTCATGGAGCAGGTGGAAAGCAATTGTTTTCTCTTTGATGGGATGCAGCCATAAGGCAGATAAGAGAATTGCCTCATCCAGTATCTGCTGCCTTTCAAGGGCCTTTAAAATAATCAGGCTACCAGGGTGCCATATTTTGGGATGACATTCCCTGGGTTCCTTTAGTCACAATAGGTACTTATTAAATAAATGCTAATGGTGCTAGTATAAAAATAGACACAGAGATCAATGGAACAAAATACAGAACCTAGAAATAAAACCCCATACATATAAGCAACTGATCTTTGACAAAGTCAACAAAAACATACACTGGGGAAAGGATACCTTATTCAATAAACGGTGCTGATAAAAGTGGATAGCCATAGGCTGAAGAGTGAAATTTTATATCTCCCATTACATATATATATATATATATATATTAACTCAAGATGGATTAATAACTTAAATGTAAGACCTGGAACTATAGAAATTCTAGAAGAAAACCTAGGAAAGTCTTCTTGACATTGGCCTAGGGAAAGAATTTATTACTATGATCTCAAAAGCAAATGAAGCAAAAAGAAAAATATGCAAGTGGGATGTAATTAAATTTAAAAGCTTCCACACAGAAAAAAAAATAGCCAACAGTGTAAACAGACAACCTGCAGGATGGGAGAAAATATTTGTAAACTACCAATCTGACAAAGGAAAAATACCCAGAATCTGCAAGGAACTCAGACAACCAGAAAAAAGCAAATGACACCATTAAAAATCGGGTAAAGGACATGAGCAGGCATTTTTCAAAAGAAAATATACAAATGGCCAAGAAAATATGAGCAAATGCTCTACATCACTAGTCATCAGAGAAACACAAATTAAAATCACAATGAGAAACCATCTCACACAAATCAGAATGGCTATTAATAAAATGTGAAAAAACAACAACACCAGCTGTTTGTGAGGATGTGGAGAAAAGGGAACGCTTGTGCACTGTTCACAGGAATGTAAATTAGTACACCTTCTATGGAAAGCAGTATGGAGATTGCCCAGAGAACTAAAAATAGAGCTACCATTTGATTCAGCAGTCCCACTACTGGGTACCTACCCAAAGGAAAATAGATCATTATATAAAAAATATACCTGAATGCGTGTATTTACCACAACACTATTCACAGTAGCAGAGATACAGAATTAACCAAAGTGTCTACCAACGAATGATTGAGTAAAGAAAATGTGTTTGTGTGTGTATGTGTATGTGGGGGTGTGTGTACATACACACACATATACACCATGGAATACTATTCTGCCATTAAA